GGAGAACGGACGAAAATCGGTGCGCGCGCAGGATGTCATCCATAAAATTAAAAAAGTGTGGCCTTAATTGAATAATTTAACAAAAAATGACTGCATGCACTGAGGTAAAGGATAACCAAAGGGTACTAGTACAACTGACTACACAATATATACTAAGTTAACTTGTTTACAGGATACTTCATAAGATTAGCTGTGTATATATGTATGTATTTGTCTACAAGATATTCCATTGTTTTCTATGACAATTCTTTGGATTTTTACTTTATTTATTTATTTATTTATTTTTATCTATTGCAAAGCTCGTATCAGCAGAGGTTTTCTTTTACGTTTTGTCATCCTTAAGGGACCTTATGTTTCTAATGAGATAGATCTGCCTAACTGACAAATTTATACAGAGTATGGCCTTGTCATTTCAAAGCATAGAATACATCATAGGCAGTGACAGTCTTCTTGGTATTCTCAGTGTGGGTGATGGAGTCCGGATGACATTCTTGCGGAACACCTTCAGGACACCACGGGTCTCTTCACAGATAAGTCCAGAGATACGCTTACAGCATATGCTTGACACCACCATGGCGAGCCAAATAATGGATGGCTGGTTTGGTGATACCCTGAATGTTCTTTTTTGCTTTTGGGATGCTGCTAAAAGAAAATTTTTAAAGTATTTTCTGAAAAATGGAATGAGACTAAAATAAAAAGTATCATCTTTGACACCCAGAATATCAGCCAAAGTTTGGATTTTTTTTTAACTTAAGCTGAACAAAAAGTAATGACCAAGCAAGATGGGAAACAACAAAATCCACACCAGTGCTGTTATTTATTTATTTATTTATTTATTTATTTATTAGAACTTTTTAATTAGATTTTTTGCCAAGCATGGCAGTGTACAGTACCTGCTACTAGGTTAAGGAAGGCTCTTCCAAGGGCGAGGAGATGCATGTTGTGGAGCAGGGCCATTTACCTGCAAGTGGAGCTAGGGGCACTCAAAGGGACAGGGAGTCACCATACGCAGCACTCTTGATGGTCCTTTTCAGGGCCCCGAAAATTAATGCTGGAAACATCTCTGGTCTCCCAATGACTGGAGGCCCTGAAGAGGGAAAAATCAATCCTAAAGAGGGTGAAACACCAAGCAAAACAATAAAAAAAAAAGAGGAAGACGTAAAGGTGGCTCTATAACTATATTCCTTGGGTAAACTGCACTTAGCAACACTGAAGACATGCACATCCTAAGACAGTGCCCGAATTACAGACTGAGCCCAAGTGCAATTGAATCAACCAAACTTAATACCAACACACACACAAAAAAAAAATAACAGTCCGTGATTGGTCTACTTGGAGGATTCTGCCAAGATAAGTTAAACAGTTGCAACACATTAACATGCATTGACCACACAACCTAAAGATGTCGGCACACCTGATGCATATCAACATAAACAGTTTTAAATACAAAAAACCATTAGTTGTTGAACATTTGGTAGAGTGCAATCCTGACATTGTATACACAAACGAGACTAATTTGAGTGAAAAAACAAATGACAGTGAGCGGCCTTCAGATGTAGGGACAGATGCGTATGGAGGTGGAGTGGCTATACTCCATTCAGTAAACATTTTTTTTTTCAGTTGCAAAAAAAAAAAAAAAAAAGTACCAAAAAGGTTTGTGTCGACATTAGTGAGACGCAAGACCTGATTAATCTTAATGATGAGGGCAAAAGAACACATATGGCCAGTGACGGCAATACTGATACTCTGGATGTAGCTTTTGTCATGACTAGGCTTAAACCGACTGTTATGTACCTCTACACAAAAACCATACAGAATAACTGAACAGCAATCTGCTTACAATGGAACATCAATAAAATAAACCAAACCTTGTTAAACCATCAAATTATAAACAACCTAAATAGTGACACAGTCACACCAGCCTCCAATGGAATAGATTTAGCATGTAAATGCACTAGAAACTGCATGCCCAAAGAAAAAAAGATTATATATGGAGAAAATATATGGAGAGTGAGGACACCCAAAAGCTTATAAAACTGAAATTAAGATTAAGACACG